ATCATGTAGGAAAGGAGCACCAGTCATGGATGGCTGCTTCATTGGCGGCCCCTGTGCCGTTCACAGTACACCAAAGCTTCTTTGAAAGCCCACTTTAATCACTTTTACGCTTTTCGAAGTTCATGAGTCGGTCCGCCCACGTAGGTAAAAGTCAATCGAGGATTTTGTGGACACTGCCTTCCAAATCTTGGCTACGGATACTTACTTCTTCAATCCATCACAAATAAAACAATGACAACACGACAGAGCCATTTTGGTAAACTTGCACTAACGTCTCTTGCATATTTAGCGCGTGCATACGTGCGTATGCACGAATTATTTTGTGGGATTCTATTTGATACCTACTCATAGAACATGCAAAGTTTTTGCAGAATACATGTATCTCATAGAATCTTGCCAGGAATTACACATACAAAAATTTTTCATCGGTTTCTTCTCCAATACATGCAATGGCTGTGTCTGTAGAGATTGCTCTTATTGTTAGAACAGCTATGCAGAGTTTTTGCCCTCTATGAAAACACAACCATCATATGTTTACCACACTGACAATGAAATAAATTTGCATTCTAAAGTCCTGAACAGCTACCGCAATGTCTACTAAACGACAGTAAGGTGATTATATTACTGCATAGAAGCTACCTTAGAACTTCCTGTTCACAAAATGGGCGTGCATATGTACGCATGCAGAAATGCCAAACGGAAGTCAGAGCGTGCATACGAGCGTATGCACGCGGTCGTCAACGTGTTAAGGACTGTCTCAGATGTGCCTAAACTAAGTTAGAACAAGTGTCTGTGTCTCTACTCAAATACGGGAGACGGTCAAGAGGCGCGTTTTTCTAAAGGTCACTAATTCAACACAAGTAAGAGCGCAATCTTTCAAGACCACTAGACAAAGTTTTTTATTTGATAAGCTGTTAGGTTACAACTTGCTAGATTCAACGGCTTTTGATTGAAATCGATCAAATTATTCACAAAATTGCCATTAGTTGTGATTTCGCGGTTTACATCCAACATTCAATCAAATCTAATTCGAGATATTAAAATCAAACAGCCCATACAACGATCTTCGTACCCCTAAAAGTTTGAAGGGCCTTCAGAACGCTAAAACCCTGAACCTGTGCTATTAGGTATCCATCTGGCAATAAAAATCGCGCTTCTTTACATATACCCCCAGATACGTATCGTCTGCGCCCCAGAGAGGTTCCCATAGGTACCACGTCATCTCGCTGCCTTTCACACTTTTGAACGTGTTAACCTCGGGCACTTCAGTTGAAATCTCAGGAGAAACGTGTCAAAAAGAGCGAAAGGCAGCGTCGCACCACGTACGCACGCTGGTTCACATGGGAACCTCTCTGGGGCGCAGACGGTATAAGCGATTCTAGCGCGTAAAGACAGGGCGTAACCATGGATGCTGTCGGCGTCTCGCTGATCGGGCGCTCTTTCATTCTTACCGTCTACTGTCTCTCCCATGCACGAACTATCTAAGTCGGTGCCACGGCGTCCAGTCTGTGCGTGCAATGAATCGCCTATACGTGCTTCTGTAGAATCTGAGAGGAAGGATGGTGAAAGATTCCACACCGAGGTGGAGCTTTGGAGCAAGCAGAGACCAGGTTTACAGCCAATCTCAAATACTGTTTGCATTAATTACCGAGTTCTGGGGGGGGGAGGGGGGGGGGAGGAGGGGTGGGGGGTTAATTGACACCCATTATCGTTTCAATTCGGTATTTTTCAAGAACGCTAACAAAAATTATCACCCATCTCTCTTCTCTTACCATGAAAGGATACTGGCGATCGTGGCCTTTTGTGAAGTGATATGCATACTACTAGACCTTTTTGGAGCGCTGAATCCAAATCTGCTCTCTGTTTCTGCCAAACTTTTCTCTGTAGGAAGTAAGGGGGGGGGGGGAGATTTTGGTTCACAAAAAGATAGTCTGTTCCTCATGCGTCCTTGTCCATCATTCGATAACCAAATTACTAGAAAAAAACCTCCAAACTTTATTAGATGTACAAACTCTTCAAAATCTATGAAAGTTAGACTACATAAGGCAAAACATTTACATTGTGGGGGGTTCAAAGATTTTTGCGGCTCTAACCCAGGGTGGAACTTTTCACCCCAAAGTCTCCACCTCGCCCATGTTAATGTATTGGCCGGAGACCGCCAGTGGAGACTTTGGGGTGAAAAGTCTCCACCCCCGGGCATATGCCGTGAGAGGCGCGAAACCCCCACATATTATACATCTTCTGAAAGCTCTTGATGAGAAGAACCTAATCTATGAAGTCGCAACATGATTCATGCAGTTCTGAAGAAGTTATGAGCTGTTGAAGTTCAAAGAACGGTTTTTCACCTGTTTTTTAAAAGCCTGAATGTCGGCGGGATCTTGATGGATCGGTACGGTTAAGGCATAGTCCGATAAAGCAATTCTTACTCTTCAAAAGCTATAGAGTCGCAATATTGCACACCTTCACATTCCAGATTTATAGGAGTCTGAACGTCAGCTGTCACTAAGTAACCTAAAATCGTTTAGTTTTTTGAAATTCTCGTTCTCGGCGGCCACTGCTCAGATCGACCTAATTCTTCCACTGTCTCGTAGAACAACACTTGCCCTTCAAAACCTATGAAGTCGCAATTGCTGACATCTTCAACCGCAAAATATATAACAGTGGAAATTTCGCATGATTTTTTCGTTATTTTATAATTCGAAATTCTGGTTCTCGGCGGTTACTGCCTAGATCGACTTACTACATAGATATATGCTCTCAATACTTTCTTTTGTGTTCCTTTTGCTTATTTTCCTTGTTTTAAGCTTCGGCAAAAAATTTTTTTCAAGCCCAAAAGTGAAGGTGGTCACCCCGTACCAGCTCAAAAGTGAAGGTAGGCGGAGACTCGGCTCCGACTATCGCACCTCTGCTCACCATAAGGTTATTTCGTTTTTGCTCCATAAAACTCTTTTTGCAATGTCCATAAAGCGCTGGATTTGATTAATCACACTGCCTACATGGTGATGCAGCTTTTGCAACAACTTCTGATTTTCCCTACTGATGCAGTAGCGATTTAGAACTGAAAAACTTTTCTTGAAAATTCCCTGCAAACAGAAGATCCGATATAACCTTAGATCTCCTTATTTCCCTCTGTGTTTCATGTCATATTTCACCCGATGAATGAGATCAGCTAAAATTTTTGAGTTTTAAGCGTTTCCTATTCCAATGATCTGAGTTGGCTTTGATTGTTCAGGGTGCTCCACCAACATTCAGTGCATGTCAACTGCGGCTGAACCAGATTGCTCAATTCCGAAATTCTTTCCTAGTCATGCACACAAGTTCATTGTTGTATGGCTGCTGTAGTGGCTACATTACACTATTTTGTGTTGCTTGGAAACCGAGTTTTGTGGTGCAAAAGTGCGTCTACCCCATGGTGAGGTTGGAATTTGTCCGTCAATATCAGCGATTACGCAGAGTTTATGAGAGCGCTCTCCAACTCATTTGAAAGGATCAGTAGATTTTATTGCTATCATTTGAAATAAACAAGGGCTTGAAAACTCCTCAAACCAGCATCTTGTCAAAGCAGATTGACTTTTGATGCTTTTGAAAGCAAAAAATGCAGTGGTCCTTCTATTTGAGTAGGTTGACAGGCCGTATGTTGCAAATGTTTCATATTTTGGGATGTAATTGAACAAAAAAAATTTGAGAGTCAACGAATGCGATAGTGATTAGAAAAACCAGGTGGCTTTATATTTTTCTTCAGCTCTCATTAAGGGCTTTTTCAAATTTTTTCGTTTTTCTCCGTTCAAACTCAACAAGACTGGAAGCCGTTTTGAGGGGTCATGGTAGGTTGATACAGCAAAGTTTCAGACAGATTCATTGACAAGAACGAAAATACGACGATTTCTGGAATTGCTTTATAATTATGGCCAGCACTGTATAGCATTACACCAGTTACTCTTTCTGTTGTTACTGGCATCTCATGCGTTTTCAAAACAGTGGCAGAAGAATTTTTTCTTGGGGGGGGGGGAAGATGAACAAAAATAGTAGGTGCACATGAACAAGGTGAACAAAACAGAACATTCAGCAACTGGCCACTAATTTATGCCCCCCCCCCCCCCTCCGCTTTCAAAAATTTGGAAGGATCCCTAAAAAAGTAGATGTGCAGTGATGGAGTCCCATGATTCTAGAGAAGGAAGGGGGGAGGGGGGTGAGGATGCGACGGAAAAATTTTTGGATGAAGGGTAACGCCCTTCGAGAGAATTTTGGGAAGATTTTCAAATCCTCAGCCGACTTAAAACACCTAAGTTTTGCAAAAATTGGTGAAAGATAAAGTGTAGAAAATGTGGGACCAATATCAGTCGATGGACAAATTCCTACGGTATTGAGTGGACATTTAGTTCTGCAGTGTTTTCGAGCAGCAGTAAAATTGTTGAAAATTTTAAGTAATCATGAACTGTCAACCGTTTACCGTTACCACCTTATTCAAATCCTGAAATGTCAAAACTTTCTCCTACGACGCTACAACACAAGATAAATGGTTTGAAGTCAGTGTTTGAAAATGTAGAGATGAGTATATCCTGCTCAAAGTGGAGGTGGAATGTATACCATTATATATCCCAATCTTTCCATAGAAGTGGATGAGTAGCAGTCCACTAAGCATTTGCTATTTTTTCACTGGTAACTACAATGGCGCATTTCACCTCAGTTCTTGTCTAGTAGCTCCAGAAAGGATTTATATCGATTATTCAAATTTTTTTCAGTTGGTTGCCTCAAGCAACCTTGTCGGTATCTATTCCGTCTATAATTTTCCAGTGGAAATTTGCAGATTCCGGTAGATGGTATGGGCCTTTCCCAACGTTTCTGTACACTTTCGTTCGGGAAGTAATAATTACGATAATTTTGCGTACGTATACTGCTTTTTTGTGTAAATCGTCTTTGATCAAAAAGTGCTCAAAAACGTGAACTAACATTTACCACATGCTTTTGTTTCAAAAGTTGTACAAGGTAAAAGCAGACATGCCAGAAATTCAGTGCTGAGAAACCGCTTGAAGAAAGACGTTAACGGAAGCGTTGATAGCAGTAAAACTACTGTACAGGAGCATATGTACGACTTACTGCTCCATGAGGCTTGCAAAGAAAGTTTTCAAGCAAACGAAACAAATAACAGTGATATGCTCAGATAACTAGCAGCCAAATCGAACCCAATAAGAAGCTTCGACAAATCATCGCCCATTTACGATGTGAGGCATCCTGCAGTGGTTTATATGTTTAAGTAAGGGTATAGTGAGTGATATATGATACTGCGCCAAAAGAGAGCAGCTAAAGCACCCACAATCTGAAAATGAAAGGTCTAAAAAAACCAGTCAGTTCAATGAGGAAGAAAATAGTATTGTAGAGCGAATTGCAGCTTGAAAAAGGAAGAACCATGTACTCCTTACCTTATCGACTAGATTGTGACAGAAAATGCAAATGAGCAGCTGAATCATCTAAAAGTCAGCAGTTTAGAGAACTGAATTGAGGAAACAAGATATGCTCTTCACATACATTCAGTCTTTAGTAAAGAACCCGTCGAAAGCTTAAACGAGTTAGCAAATTGAAAAAAATGGATCATCAAATTTTGGAACAAGCTGTGTTGAGTGCAGAAAATAGCAGTAAAGTGATAATGGAAGCAACTCACCCAGGCAAAACCAAGCAGAAACAGCAGGATTAATGAAACGAAAGGATATTGGGCATTATTCCGTTGTATTTGTCTCCCCCTCATTGGCGTTTTAGCATCCTTATAGAAATGCGCAACCTGGCAACATTCTGCTTAGGTTAAAGGAAGGTATTTGAAAAAATCATGCATATGTTAGACCGCTGCAAAACATGGCTGTAAACTTGAGATTCGCACCTCTTCTATCATAACAAGCATACTGTGAATCAACGTGAAAGAATGGCTAGAGATGTCCTTTGATAAGTAATCGAAACTAAAATGATTCTAGAGTTGACCAGTGTTAAGCCAGATCTTGGAGAGACAATGTGTCAATATCGCGTAAAAGACTAAGAACTCACAATTCCAAGCTAATGTACCAAGTCCCTGAATCCACTATTAGTCGCAAGATGCCATTGAAAAAGAGCTCGCTTCTGCAAAAGATAACATGGCATTTTGAATACGATCAATATCGAACACTTTTTCATGTAACTTTTCGTGCTCCCCCCACAATGGTCGGCCGCCTCATCTTGCGTGGGGGTGACACTGGGTGTCGAACTGCGATGCACAGTCGAGTGTATACTCTGGCAGGGCCTCCCAAGCTGTGAAATAGTTCAACGTTTCCAGTTTCGGCCAGATGCCTAGCTAAGAGCCGGCCAGACCAGATCCACCGCCGTCTGGCTTTCAGGTCGCTAGGCGGTTCACCCCGCTCCAAGCCCGGGGTCAGCGATCGCCCCGTGGAAATCAAGAGTTGGCCTAGTAAGTCTGCTCTTGTAGGGGAAAAGTTTAATCACTCCACCAGTTAAAAGAATAGAAATCCTGCACACATCGGATCCCGTCTACGGCGCCGGGTGGTAATATGACTGAGTCAGGGTCCTCAGGGCGCTTTTTGGATTGGATAAAAACGACACGCCTGCTCGGACGACACGCCATGGACCCTCATGCTCTGCACCTATAACGCCAGGACAGTCTCCACAAACGCCGACCTTCACGCTCTTCTCGACGCTGCAGAGCACATCAAGTACCACATCATCGCTCTGCAGGAAACGAAGTCCAGGAAAAAGGACGTGCGACAGATGAGTGATGGGACTCTCATCATTCGTGGTGAAAAGGTTCCATCACGAGACGTTGGAGGTGTTAGCTTTGTCGTCCACCCATCTATCGTCCATCTTGTCGATTCGCACGAGATCCTATCACCCCGACTAGCCATCCTACTACTACGCCCTCCACGTCAGAAGACGATCAGCATCATCAACTGCTACTCTCCAACATCAGCAGCTGACGACTTAGAACTAGATGCCATTTACGAAGACATGGAGTAAGTCGTCCACGACGAAAAGTCCTTCTACAAGTATGTTATGGGCGACTTCAATGCGAAAATTGGGATGCCACTTGAAAAGGAATATAGGATCGTGAAGTTTGGATATGGGCTCCGGAACGAAAAGAAGCTCAACGAAACGTCTTTGTGTGCGGTAAACCACCCATACTAATGTACGAAACATCGAAGCAACGCCAGATTGCGCAGCAGCTTAAAAAGCGCGAAATTTGAGCGATGCCTTAGGGTTTAAAAATGACGGCGGTTGATCAACGATAGTGACGATAGTCAACCTATCTTTGAGCTGACAAAGAGGAAATTGGAAAGAGCTTTTTAAATCAGCTGCTATTTAGAATGTTTGTGCTGTGCGCGAGTTTCAGGCGCAAGGTGCAAGAATGTGACCTGGTGATACTAAGGGCCGCATGCATTAACATCCGCGCGGGGAGGGGATCGCAGCTATAAAGAAAGCTTCATATGAAACTCCAGATATCTGGATTTCACGTTGTGTACCTATCCATAAGTATTCCCACTATCCTTCACTATGAACATACTGAACAGGAGCAAGAAGCTGTACAAACCGCATTCTTCAGCTTTTGTATAATCCTTGATGATCCCCGGCTCTTTTCTTCAACGTCATTTCTTTCTCTGAAGTTAACGAAAAACTTCCAAAGTTGTGCAGATTATCTGAAACAACAGTGCTTAGCATGTTGCTGTAAGAACGAGTGATGTATCGAAGTCATGAAATTTGCGATGAACCACAAGGCGAAAGTTGGGGTTACCGAAAAATTTAGTTTTTCAAAAACTCATTTGTTCTGGCACTGGCCTACTTTCTGTATGCCTTACTCATTCCGGCATAATAATGACATCAAAGCTCACCGCGCTATGCAGGCTATCACGAATGATTTGCAAACAACTACTCATTCCTAGACCCTTTGTGAGGTCGGTATTTTCGCGTGAAGGAAACTGTTCCCAGGAGAATATATGCAAATTTGAATCAGTTTTTGGACCTCTCATGGCTTGGTAGTGGCCATAAGGACAATAGTCACCGTGGGCTACATCTCCAAGCAAGATCTTCTCAAATGATCAGGTGAAATGTTGGCAAATTGAACATTTACGCTACTGATCCTTTTTGGCGCCATTTTCGTAAAGTAATCAACTTTAATCCAGTGTTATGGGCTGAAGTCTGTGGCTTCCGCACTAGCCTGCCAAACATGTGCATGACTTCGCAAAAAGTGGTGGTACAGTCCCAATTTTGCTGGCCAGAAGCCAAGTCCGTTTGACGCGCACTTTTCGAGGGATCCACTAGCGTATCCGCTTGTGCTTCTGCATACTGGACTTTCACGTGGGTAGTATGCGCTGTGCGAAATTTGGGAGCAGGACGTTGGCTGGGACATGCTCTACGAATTTCGTAACAGGCGGACATATACACACACAAAAACACGTAACCAACCCTTAGCCCGTTATTATAAGGTCTTGATAATTAGTACAACTTTGAAAGGTTTTCGTTAACTTCAAAGAAAGAAAAATGACTTTGAAGAGAAGCGCCGGGGATCATCAGTGATCACACTAAAGCTGGAAAACGCGGTTTGCGCAGCTTCTCGCTGTTCGGTATGTTTATACTGATAGATAGTAGGAGTAATTACGGATAGGTAGACAGCGTAAAATCTAGATAAGCTTCAGAATATGAAGCTCTCTTTTAAGTTGCGATCCCCTCCCCAACGGGGATGTTGATTCATGCGGCCCTAAGAAATATTTTTGTAGTTGATATGCTAGAAGCAATTTCTAGCTAATCTTCGGCTACGTTATGGTGCTGAATTTTATGAATATTATTACTTAAGAAAATGCAGCAAAGCGATTTCTTGTGAAAAGCAGTTTCGTTCACATGTCATGCTTAGAAGTTAGACAATCATCAATAACGACGAAGGCAAAAATTAGGCAAAACTGACAAGGGTGATGCAAACACCGAGGAGTTAGAAATGCTTGCTCGATCTCATTGACGATGAGTCAGAACGTTTCTCAGCAACAATGGCTCGCATTTTACACAATCTTGCCGATAGTCAGTGCAAATTATGAAATCTAAAAATTTAGAAATTCAGCCACGAAACCGGATCATATACCCCAGCTCTTGGTGGCGTGGCATAGGCAGATTGAGGAAAGCGGGTAGCAAGGAGGGGGGGGGGAGTCTACTGGAAGAGATTCGTAGAGTGACTCAAGGAAGTAAGTTATGCAAAGTTGACTCGTTTGATACGAAAACTTCTCGAAAACTGAGTTAAAACTGAGTCAGCTCTGCAGGATTTTTTTGGAGACGTTGCTTTTGACGTATTCCTCGAATCTTCGGTATTGGAATTTTGAAAATGTTCTTTTAAGAAATTTCAGGGACAGGCTGTTGTGTTTACACGTACTTTCTTTCGCCCACTCTGTTTCTTTGGCCTTTCCGCTAATTTACAAACCTTACAGCGGAGGAGGCAAGCCTGGTGGTCGGGTTTTCTGGGATGCAAGCTTTAGCATCGGCTTTGGATTGAAGTCTATGACCACCATACCATTTTGTTCGTATGGGACTGTGGACGAATTTTTAAAAGCTAAATTGATTTTTGATCATTTCAGGATTGATTGATTGATTTTAATCTTGAAATGATCAAAAAACAAGTCATTTGCACATTTTTGTAACTCATATGAATCATTTGCAAGATTTTGCTACCATTTTGTGAGGGTGCTAAGCTTTAGCGTATGATTTCTCACATATGAATCATCATCTACATCGATAAATGCCTCCGCGTACTTTGTCCTTACAAGTATGTATCATGTAGGAAGGAGCATCGGTCGTAAATGGCTGGTCTTATTGGCGGCCCCTGTGTTAATCCACATTACGCCAAAGCTTTTATGAGAGCCCATTTCAGTCACTTTCACGCTTTTCGAAGTGCATGAGTCGGGAAAGCCCACGTAGGTAAAAGCCAATCGAGGATTTTGTAGACACTGCCTTCCGAATCTCGGCTACGGCTGCTTACTTCTTCAATCCATCACAAACGAAACAATATTAACAAGTTGACGATCGAAACATTTTGGTAAACTCATACACTATCGCTCTCGTGCTTAACGCGTGCATGCGCGCTTGCGCACGCAATTATTTGTGGGCTATTTGTCTACTCATAAAAATGAGAAGTTTTTGCAGAATACATGTACCTCATAGAGTCTTGCTGGAGATTACACATATAAGAATTTTTCATCGGTTTCCTCTCCAACAGAACATGCAATGGCTATGTGTGTGGAGATTGCTTTTATTGTTAGAACAGCTATGCAGAGTTTTTGCCCTCTATGGCCCGGACAGATTTCACGCGATTTGATCGTCGCGACTGAATCGCGACGAGACAGCTGTTACAATATCATTCCATGCCGATCAACTTGCATTTCGGTTGTGATACTTTTCCAGCCCGAAATTTTTGAATGTGAAATGAAAATGAATGGAAATGTCGGCGATTGAGTCGCGACAATCAAATCGCGCGAAGTCTGTCCGAGGCCTATGAAAAACATACCATCATATGTTTACCGTATTGAAAATGAGATGAATTTTCGGTTCAAATTCCTGAAGATGAGAAGTTACCTCAGAACTTTCTGTTTGCATTCAAAAATTGGCGTGCATACGTATCGTATTCGTTGGCCGTACAGACTGCTCAACCGCTGCGGACCACGCGCGGCGCGGTTAATGTTGCGAGAGCACGATTTTAACAATGGCGAGTTTGTACTGGAGCAGGCGTTTTACCTAAAACGCTTGCTCCAATACAAACTCGCCATTGTTAAAATCGTGCTCTCGCAACATTAACCGCGCCGCGCGTGCTCCGCGGTTATGTCCAGTCCGTACAGTCAACGAATCGACGATACGTATGCGCGAATGGAAGTTAGAACGAGCATACGAGCGTATGCACACGATCGTCAACGTGTTAACCGTCTCAGATGCGCCTCAATTAACTTAGAACAGATGTATGTGTTCTAGGTACGGGGGACGGTCAAGAGGCGCGTTTTTCTGAATGTCACTAATTAAACAGCCCAATTTAGAGCGCAATCTTTCATGAATACTAGACATAGTTTCCTATTTGGTAGGTGTTAAAAGTTACAACTTGCTAGGTTTGACGGCTTTGGTGAATATCGATCGAATTGTTTACAAATTGCCTTTTTCACGTGATTTTACCTCTAATATTCATCTGAATCTATTTCAAGGTAATAAAGTCAAATAGCTCATGCAACGATCTCCTATGTTTCCCTAAGAGTTTGAAGGGTCTTCAAAACGCTATAAAACACTGAACTTGCGCTATTAGGCATCCATGTGGCAAAAAATCGCGCTTCTTTTCACATACCACCAGATACGTATGAGCGATTCTAGCGCGTGAAGACAGGGCGTAACCGCGGATGCTGTCAGCGTCTCGCTGATCGGGCACTCTTTCATTCTTACAATCTACTGTCTCTCCCATGCATGAACTATCTAAGTCGGTGCCACGGCGTTCAGTCTGTGCGTGCAATGAATCGCATATACATGCTTTTAGAAAATGAGAGGAAGATGGTGAAAATTTACAGCAAGGTAGTGCTTTCGAGCAAGCAGAGACCACGTTCACAGCCAATCTCAATTACTGTTTGCATTTATTGCCGGGTTTTGGAGGGGAGGGGGTTTAATTGACACCCATCATCGTTTCAGTTCGGTATTTTTCAAGAATGCTAACAAAAAGCTTCACACATCTCTCTTCTTTTACCATGAAAGGATGCTGGTGACCGCGGCCTTTCGTGAAATGATATGCATACTACTAGACCCTCTCTGGAGCGTTGAATCCAAATCTGCTGTTTCTGCCAAACTTTTCTCTGTAGGAAGTTAGGGGGGGGGGGGGGTTGGAGAGATTTTGGTTCACAAAAAGGTAGTCTGTTCCTCATGCGTCCTTGTCCATACTTCGATAACCAAACTACTAATAAGAATAACCTCCGAACTTTATTAGATGTACAAACTCTTCAAAATCTATGAAAGTTAGACTATATAAGGCAAAACATTTACATTGGCACACATACCACGGAGGCAAGCGAGCTGAGGACAACGGCCACACTGAAGCAAAACAAAACTGTGACTGAAACAATAGAAGCGTTCCTGACTAGCAGGGAGATTCCTGAACAGTGGAGATGCTAAACTTATTGCTCTGTGAGCTTAAAGGCAGCGGACAGGCAAAATGGACCCCTGTCAGATTTTGGTAGTTTCGGGTAGTGGACCCCCCAAGTACACCGTAGCCCCAACCCCACATTCCAATTCATGCGCTAAGTCCTGAAAAAAGCGCTTCAAAACTCCACCAGCCCCGCCCACTTCGATTGAGTGGGCGTTATTGGTGGAAGTTTGAAGCGCTTTTTTCAGGACTTAGCGCATCAACTGGAAATTGGGGTTGGGGCTACGGTGTAATTGGGGGGTCCACTACCCGAAACTACCAAAATCTGACAGGGGTCCATTTTGCCTGTCCACTACCTTTAACACGTTTTGGACCGCGAAATCGCGCGCGGAGAAAAAGAGTGTACTTTTGGCCGTTAGCCTACAAAGGAACCTCATTTCGCAGCCTGTGGGCCGCATCTGTAATCAGCATGTCAGATAAGCTCCATACCCAAAGTTCTGAGTGAATTCAAGTGTTTGAATTTTGTCGCTTGAGAGGGACTTTTGTGCTTTCTTGAAAGATAAGAGTAAGAACTCAGTTTCAGATAGCATTCAAAAGTATCTATGTTGTACACGGTACACATCAATATTGAAACTACGGTTTTTCTCTTTGACATCGAAGCAAAGGAAAGTTGCGACGTCGCACGCGTCGTCTTGCCGCACTTCGTTGCAAATGATGTTCGATTTGTCCTCATATCTCCTAAACAAATATGCGCGGCACAGCTCTGCAGAGCCGTTTGAAAAGTAGAAGCTTAGATCTTTGATTTGACATGGCTGGACTAAAAGTAAACCTCCTGTAAACGCCAGAAAGATCCTTCAAAGCAGCGTGCTGCACCATGTGCAGCACCGGTCCGAAACGTGTTAATAGCATCGGAAAACTCCCAAAAACAGGTATAGAAAAGAAAATGGCAGACAGTGAAACAACATAAAACCAACTGTTCGTAAAAAAGTATCTAGGATCAACAGTTCGATGACAGATTATCGCTTACGCACGGATGGATTAGGCTTCATCCTATGGATTGGTGGCTGTAGAAAACCGGCTGGATAGAGCACATGATACGTGAGGTACCACCAAAAGATAGCTACTAATGCGCCGACAACCTGGAAGCGCAGTCAAAATCCTATCACTGAGAAGACAAACTTTAGAAACCAATGCCATAGCCAAGAAAAAGAAGAAACAAAGATCTTCTTACCTTATCAATCATTATGTGATAGTAGAGAATGGAGATGATCAACTGCTTGATCTAAAAGACCAAAATAAGCATGTAATGTGATGATCCCCGAACCGCAGAAAAACCGGATGTGAGACTGATTCAAAACTGGTTAGAATGAGAGGTGTAGGTAAAGCTGATCTACTGACATATAATGAAAGTTTAGAGCACCATGTACTACAACAAACAAAGTTTCCTAAGAAGGTAAATGGAGAAAAGAAAGAGAGTTCTTACGTAAAAACACATATTCTATTCCAACGCAAGCAACCCACCCAGATAATGTTGAGAATCAACATCGCAACGATAAAATACTGAGCCAGCCTAGTTCGCCGTTCCTGCTTCTCTCGCATTAGCAACCCAGCATCATCATCGCGATGAGCGACTTGATGCCATTCGCGGAATGCGTTAGCCTAAATTGATGTTCAAATCAATAAAGACAGTGTCAATAAAAATACGACGATAGTGAACTACTGCAAAATGACTGACACCAAACGTCAGACTTACCTCTTCTGCCATGACTAGCATACTGTAAATCAACAGGAAACAATGACCAGAAACATCAAAACCTGGTATCCATACACCTCCCTTTTCTTTGCACAGCATACGCGAATAACGCACGCTCAAATCACATCTTGAAGTCCATTCTGTTATGCGATGGAATCTTGAATGGCTTTCATTTGATCAACACATAATGTAGTATCAATGCTGATTTTAGTGTAACTTTGAAAAAAAGAACCGTTTTCCTAAACAAACAGAAGTGAAAGCTACATGGAAACTCACAATCCCACGCTTATATACCAGACGCCTGTGGCCACTGCGAGTCGCAGTATGTCAATGACGGATTTGTCTTTGTCCCTGAAAAGATCAGGGGATCTTTAAGAACTTTGGTAACGCTAAAATGGCTAGATTGGATAAGCTATATGAGCTTTTCAAACTCGGCAAGACAAACCTATGATGCGCCCTTGAAGCAAACCATATGAAGGGTCCTACAGCAAAACACGTCCACATCCATCCTAGTTTCACCCCGTATTGGTTAAGGATACTGTGCTTCTAGATATGAACGGAATCGTTGTTGTCAAACCGATTATTACACAAAAAAACTTACTTGGACGAGATAGTAACTATCATCGAGAGTGATAAAAGAGCCAATCATTGAAAGAAGCGAAACGAATGCTAAGCATGCCAGCGCTTTTCTCCTCGGATCGATAAAAAGGAACTTTCGAGCAATCTGCAATATTAAATTTACGTAAATGGAAACTGGTGATATCTACATTTTCACATATGAAGGAATTTTGGAAAACAAAAACGAGAAAGGTAAAGCTACGACGCAACAAGTAATATATAGCGCTAGAAAATTAGTACGAATGACCTTGAAAGTAACAAAGAACTTTGCGCATAGACGAAAACTTCGCCAACACAAAGTCCAGGCGTACAATCTCTGATCCAACCAGATCCAGCAAAGAAGTAAGGTTCGTTTGGTATGAAGCAATAAAGCAGCGATTCATTGTTATAATGAAAATACAACTTCACAGAAGCAGTACGTTCGAATACTTAATTTTCAAAATAAACATATGAGAATACACAAGTGTAAAAGCCACCTGAATCGCGACGCCAAGAAAAACATTTGGAACATTCTCCGGGTTCAGTGGTCGACGTTGAGGCGTAGCTGTCGTCGAAGACGGATAACGCTGACTCATCTTTCTAAAAATGACTGGCTTCTTTTCGTAAATAGCAGAACCACAAAAGCTCTTAAAGTATTCAAAAAAGTGATAAGATAACCAAGGAGATGATAGAAACAACAAGTGCGAAAACTTCTTGAGACGAGTGTGTAAACAACAAAACCTGTTTGCCGTTTGAACTGCTCCATCGAAAAGTTTAAAGGGCGATCTTACATCGGACTTTACCGCGGAGCGCGCTAGAGATTCGTTCGTCGTGCGTTGCACTTCGCATGATCATAAACATCGCGGGACTCGAAAAGGCCGTGTAAGTATGAAGCGGGGTGCAATGATAATCTTTTTTGGCTTTAGTGCCTGAACCCTAAAGTTTCACGGGTGTATGTCAAGAGGCGCGATTTCTATTGCCAGATGGACACCAAAAAGCACATAATAAGTGTTTTATAACATTCAAAAATACTGAAATTTTAAAAGGAGATATATTTGGGAGTTGCATGGGTTGATAAATCTGGCTTCCTTGGAATCAGTTAAAAAGAACAATTTTGAAGGTCAAAAAGCCATGAAAATGCAGCTAAGAACAAATTCGTAAATATTTCGGTCCGTTTTTCAGCAAAAGCCATCTCACTCGGCGAGTGGTAACCTCAGACAGATAGCAATTCAATGCACTTCATTTGGTACTTTTTGTAGATTCGCATGGCACTAAACTGGAGTTTTGAGTTGGTGACAGCTGGATAAATCGCGCCTCTTGACCGTCTCCCAAGTTTCACTTACAGAGAGTTTGTGGAATAAGCTTGGGGAATACAAGAAACCATATGGAATTCGTGTTTCATATTTAGATGTTTTTGGCTAAAAACAAGTTCAAATTCAAATATTGCGCTTACTTCCAGAAGTCCCCTAGTCCAGTAGCAATTTACTGTTTCGAAGTGCAGAAGTGTCACGTAATCTTATAATTGTTGTGTAGTTACGATAGAGATTTTTACATTCGAGTCATTTCGTACTTGGTGTGGAAGCCGAACCATCCATAACACGTGCACCATTTTCGATCTCGCTGGCAGCGGGAAGGATAAGATTAGCGCTTTTCAGCTTTTTTCTCATGCATTTTGCTCCACCAAGTAAAGGAAGCAGTGAGTTTAGTGAGGGTTTCTGGGCATGTGTACAAACTGCCACCGCATTAGCTGGGGCGCAGTATGAGTTGTGCATTTTTGAACATTGAGATGCAGTATAAGTGCAAGTTAGATTTAACTAATGTGAAGTAAGAAAGCGCGAAAAAGCACAAAAGTTGAGAATTAGGCATCCATTCGCTTTGTCAATGGAAGAAATGAGTAAAAAGAGACCGCGGAGTTTTCAAAGCGAATAAAAATATGCGATTAGCTTGCTTCTGTTATTGACTTTGATTTCTTGAAAAAAAATTCTATTTCATTATCATTAGTTTTAGACTTCATAACTGTTTTCATAGCGCAGGTGGTCGTCTACCGCTTTGTTTTTGGTGAGAAATAATTCTCGCAAAGGAAATAGCATAACAAGCACAAGAAGTGTATCCTAGCAGCTTGCTGATTTTGGCGTGTTTTAGAACTTATCAAACCTAAGCATATGTTGAGTCGCTCAAAAAGTTCTGTGTTATTTATTCATCGAAAGTGGCTGTCAGTCAACATTTATATTGATCAAGTCTTTCAACGCTGAAATCAGAGAAATAATTTTTGCTTCAAAAAGGCTGTCTGGTACCGGAGCACGTAGTAATAGTCGAATCGTGCCATATTTACGAGGAGTAGAGCCCAGATTCTCAACCAAGCTCCTGAAATTTTGCATATCTATCGTCCAGGAATATTGCTTTTTCGCAGCACTTGAAACAACATTATTTTTTGGTTTGTCATCAGGTTGCCTAAGAGGTAGTTTTGTTTGGGCATGCAAATCTCCATGAGAACATCTCTTGTTGCCTCCATGATTTTTTGAGAGGAGGTAGTATGAAGCTTCTACTATCATATGCTATAATACTTTGAAATTTACTAATAGCAATGGAGTTATGCCCCAATGCGGCTAAAATTTTCAAAGCTTAGTTCTCTGAATTTTTAAGTTTCGTTTTCATGCTATAATGCTATGATATGTAGATGTAGAGGTGAGTAATTTGGTGTCTATATAACTGAATAACGGTAAGGCCTCGGACAGAGTTTACGCGATTTGATCGTCGCGATTCAATCGCTACAGACAAGTGTTACGAGTTCATTGCATGGCGAACTTCTTGTATTTCGGTTGTGATAGTTAGTTACTATTAGTCGTGTTGGGAAACTATCACAACTGAAATGCAAGAAGATCGGCATTAAACTCGTAACACTTGTCTGCAGCGATTAAATCGCGACGATCAAATCGCGTGAACTCTGTCCGAGGGCTAAAGGCTAAATGAAAATCGTCTTACATTTGTGCATAATGAGGTCTACGTTCAAATCTCACTAGAGTGCTTTTTGTAAAGATACTAAACACCAACAAAAACTTGCCTGCAGCATTTGTAGGAGCCGCAAAAGCGACCGAAATTGTTTTTTTTTTTGGCAAACTTATATCATTTGGCTTAGATTAAATCTTTCAAGCCAAAGAGCATATTCGATAGCCACCATCGCGCAGTAAGCGATGGTGGCTATCGAATATGCTAGCACACGCCAGACCAGCCATCTTTTCGCAATCGATTTCGATCTCCGTGTCATTGAAAGAACATTTCGAACTACCCATTAGCTTAAAAAAAGCCACATTCTGTTAGTAAATAGTGGGTTGCATAGTTCATAATTCTCAAGAGGGTAGCTCATTTCTCTGAAAAACAGTTCATTAGTGTTTGGCTCAATGTTCAACAGACCACGGCGTGTAATGAATCTCTTAGGATTGGTAAAGACAATTATCAAATCTTCGCGGCAAAAAACTATGCACTACACGTTATTTTCCATTGTTTTGACAGAACTCGCTTCTATAAAATCCTTGATCTACTCTCAGTCTCATTTGTGAAGGTATGTAGTTTGCTTCAGAAGCATGACGGTTTGAATTTGATTTCTGGCGTCGCTACTAATGATAAGCTCATTCGTTTGCTGTCTAGGTAGTGTTTTACGCCTAGACGGTTTTGCTTTACCAGGAAGTTGGCAAATCCATCTAACATCTGCTCCTGAAATACTATCTTCCTTTTATATAAGTCAGCTGCACAGCATTCTACTGCGTATTCGTATTTAGCTGTGGCCATTTGTCTCAAATATCTAAACCTTCAAAAGCGTAGAAAATAAAATTTTGAAAATTCTGAGCAAAAAACAAAAACCAATTACTGAGCAGTGAAAGTTCAGAATCAGACAACGGCTTCCATAAGCTGTCTAGGAAAAAACTCGTAGAAGGTCTGAGTTTGCTGCGGTCAAAGGCTTGAAGCTATTTAATTTACAAGTCCGAGCCCTTTCATGTGCAATTTTGACTTTGACTTGTACCAGGTAAGCTTCTTTCGCATTTTCAAGTGCCGGTACAAAGCCTCGCAGTTCAAAATGATTGACAATGACAAATTTCACGTTACTGTTTTTTGCTTTCTTGCCTTTGTTTCTTATGCTGTCAAACGGGCTATCATCGGAGACCTTGGCAGTGGAACCAAGAAGAGATGAAAGTTTAACAATTTACCATTTTTTCTGTTGTAGAACCCTATGTTCATTTTCCGAACATGACAGTGTCGGATTTGAGCGAAGCTCTTAGAACCATAAGCTTTCCGGGGGCATCAAGCAAGAATCGATATAACTTCAAAAGTAATAGTAGAACAGAACATCGAAAGTGTTACACGTTAGTACTGTAGTACTAAAGTGAAACTTGGTATTTGGGAAGTTGCTATCGCAATGGTGAAACAAAAATGTTCTAGTTTATCTACAGTTTGCGCAAAATTAATGAGGCGTGATTGTCAGTGCCAAATGGATCCAAAACGGGGTTGAAGGCGAATCAAGCATGCATCTGTTTTCTTTAACCACTATCATCGTAATGTCAGATCAGAGTCTGGCTGCTTTTTTTTTCAAAAATTTTCTGAATTATTAAAGCTGAAGTCTGTACGCAGGCACGACTTTACAAATTTGTATCTAATCCTGTTTGATCAAGGAAATATGAAAGTTGATTCGAAGAGAAATTCTTAATTTTCAGAAAGCCGCCGAAACATAATCTGAAAGTTGTGGTATTAGCTTTTCCCGAAAGTTCTGTCGTGTAAATTTGTAACTTTTTGCTGATTCAACGGATTTGCTTCTTACTAATTTCATTAGAAAGAAGAAGTTTTTCTATCTGTAGCGATATTTTGCCGAGCTTCTACTATACATTCGTTGCAGAGATAAAAATGAAAAAAAGGAGACCACTTGAGATTTGATCATTTTTAGATAGGTTGCCAAAAATCTGGGACGCTGCAAAAAATCTGAAATTGCCAGCACATAAGTTTTATGACCTATTCTTTGCATCTGAGAAAGAATTGTGCTTGATTGAAAGATTTGGACGTTTCAATGAAAAGGTATGGTTTTCGAGAAAAGCGACAAATCAATTAATTTTGGCGTTTTCTATTTTAAACTCGAAAATTGTACCTTTTCATAGAGACGTCCAAACGGCACAATTTTTTTTTCACTTGCAGAGACTAGGTCTGAAAATTTATGTACTGGCAATTTCAGATTTTTCTGCAGCGTTCCCGATTTTTGGCGACCTATCTTAAAATGGTCAAAGCTCAGGAGGTCTCTTTTTCCATTTTTATCTCTCCAATGAATGTCTAATAGAAGCTTATCGAGAAATCATTACAAAGAAAAAGACTTCCTTTTCCAACATTTCAAATTAGAAGCCAATCCGTCGAGATGACAGAAAGTTACAAATTTTCAAAAAGGAAAAGACAGAATTTTCGGGACGTCATAATATTTTGGGCGGTTTAAGTGCGCCTGAGAATCATTTTTATGCTAAATCAACTTCAAAAACATTTTCACGTATCAATCATGATTCATATTTTCTACACCTGTCATAAATATAGGAATGTTTTTTTTACCTGGAAAGTTTTGCTTGTTTGGGATATCACAATTGATTTTGAACTCGAAGTACGAAGAAATGCTTCAGAAATGTCTTGTCTTCATTCGTTTGCAGAGCGAACTATAAAGATGAAATTCTATGTTTGTTTTTCTCAAAATCACTAAAATTCTTCAAATTTTCACATTCTTGAAATAAGTTTTTTTTATTCCGAGGTTTGCTTTTTGGTAGAGTTTGATTAGGGCGTTCTATGACTCAAATATGAGCCCGTGTTTCTCACAAGGGTAGAATACTTGGTCGAAGTAGCGTTTCCATAGGAAATGTATACTGTCTTATAGAGCATGAGACGCTAATTTCGAATCTGCTTTCACTTTCTGCAAAGCCTTTTGGGATGGAAGTTATATAAATTTTTTGTAGTAAAAATTTCGAGGCGCAGCTACAATAAAATCTTTCAGAACTGTAGTCTGTGAGCTTGGAGGGGATCACGATTACTACCAAAGCGCTTCTTGCAGTTAATACCTTCATTTTATTGAATTTGAGGTAGCCGTTACTCCATTCAAGCACTGGAAGGACCTCAACACTCGTTTTTATTTTAACCAAAACCTTGAATTTTTGCCTCAAAAAGCTCTCGTGACTCCCTTTCCAAAAGCGCTTTGCAGATATCGAAAGCAGATTCGGAATCAGCGGTCCATGCTCTATGAGATGGTACACATTTCCTATAGCGCGACCTCAACCAAGTATCCTTCCCTTGTCATTGTTTTTTTCGTGGCAGTGGTGAAATTGGCGCCACTTATTTTGGCGCACCCTGTACAAACTACATAAACTTCGCAAAAAGCTTTATGTGAATTAATTTTCAGTATGTATATGTATAATTTTTGATGATTTTTATCATTAATTCTTTGAATAAACAGACAGTTTTGCAGAGGAAGTCGTTCTTTCACCTGCACGAAAAGCCCAGCAGACGGAAGTCTGACAGACTTCAGAATTATACAGGGTGTCCCAAAAAAATGTGCCTACTGTTTGATTGTAAATAACTCTCTTGCAATGCAGCGTTTCGAGACGCTCTAGGTATTATTTTGTAGAGCGGGGTTGAACTTAGATTTACAGTATGGAGCGAATCATCTATCGCTCTTCATTACTGTAGGATTACGGTACGAACTTCCAGCATATGGAAAAATTGTGGAATGTACCGCCTTACCAATTTTTTTTCAAAAAATCTGAAAAATTGTGTACTAGGATTTTCGCGCATGCTTATTCCACCTAACAGCTTTTTACGAGTGTTTTCAGCTTTTTTGACGGTGTAATCACATTTCTGACAAGTAGTGGGAATTTAATTATTACGGTTTACCCGGGATAACTTTGGAAAGAAGCATCAGAATAAAGTGGAAATTTCAAATTCGAAATCAGCGACTCTCATTACTGTGGTATATGAGTTTTTGGCTTGTTTGGTTTTGTTCCGAGGCAAAATATAGCCTCCAATGGCCCAAAATCCTTGTCGAAGTTCGTACCGTAATCCTACAGTAATGAAGGGCGATAGATGATTAGCTCCATACTGTAAATCTAAGTTCAACCTCGCTCTACAAAATGGTACCTGAAGCTTCTCGATACACTTCATTATAAGAGAGTTATTTACAATCAAACAGTAGGCACATTTTTTTGGGACACCCTGTATGTAAATTGTAGACTTGAACTATGTACATATTATCATCTAACAGCGCTAATTCTGATGGTATTTGTTGAAAATTAGTGTTTAGTTTCTTACTTCCTAGACCAACATAGAGTTACAATCACACTGAAGCGTCACCACATCCACTCAGGAAGTACGCAAAGCATACTGTTTATTCCATCTGATTCTTTTGTTTTCCCGTATGTGGCATGATGTAATCTATTTACACATAATAGTTGTGATCACCTCCTTTCACCAGGAAATATGTCTATTACAGGAGGGCATAAGGAAATAATCTATACAGTCAGCTATTCTAATAAAATAACATTCATTTTGTACCTGATGGGTTGGTTATAAAGCTTTTTGTGATTTCTAGAGCTTGATCATTGAGTTACTTACTTGAGTTACTTGTTAGTGCAGAAAAAAGATAATCCGCGTGATAACCTGATGGTTTCCAATCTCCTCTGTCAAGCGCAGTCACTTAACTGTACATAAAACGCTAGAAAACTCTGTCTTGGTTGTAGTTCGTTGAGTTCGTTGTGAGAAGCAGTCAGAGAATAATAGAGAGGTGAAAATCTGAGTACCAAGGGTTTTATGGAAAATTATTTGGCAAGAAGTCCAGACTTACAAGAAATGCATGTTTAGTCGAAGTGCCTTTTTAGATAGGATGTATACCATATTGAAGGGCAAAAAACGCTGATCTCAAATCTGCCTTCCTTATCTGCAGAACGTTTACGTTTATGGACGAGGAGTTATGAGCGCTTATTGGAGCAAAAAATTGAATGTGCAAGTAGGACAAAAATAGCCGTAATACTTTTTCTAGCTCTTTAATAGAGCAGCGATAATCATCAGAGCACTTTATTTAAAAAATACTCTCAAAAAATATGTCACACTTGGTTGCATTATTTGAGGGCTAGTAAGATTCTAGCAACTCATTTTATCCAAAATGCACGTTCAATTTTTGGCTATAAAAAACGCTCATAACTTCTCTGCTAAACGCTCAGCAGATAAGGAAGGCAGATTTAGTGTCAGCGTTTTATAGCCCTTCAATATGGTATACATATTTAGCTCTTTAGCTAAAGCTCTTATTTTTTGGTGTAACGACATAAACAATATCTGTGATTATTTTGAAGATTTTCAAAAAAAAATTGATTCAATGAGCTTACAGTTGCGGTCGTTCAATAAGAGCTCAAAAAACTTACGAAGCCACATTCGTAACGTTTCGTATATCTTCTTCTTGATCTTTTTTATGGGAGTTTGAGCTATAATCGAGTATTATATTGTGTATTTATTGATGTACATATTGATGCATGGCATCTTTTTGCCATTTTTTCGTGTCCCTCAAGGGTAGGTTGCCCTCAAGAACAGAGTTTTTCGGATTGTTCAGAGGACAAAGGAAGTAGAGTGATCAAGTCACAAGGTAGAGCTTCTTATAGAAAAGGATGAGACTGAATTATTCACCCATCGCTGCAAATAATTTTATGCGCTTGTTTGGGCTTATAGAAATTCTCGCTAATTGAATAATTTAGTTCCGTTTTGGACGATAGTTTGCCGAGCAAACATAATCTGGCTCGAATAGAGAGAGATAATATAATTGATGCAAGCTTTAGTATTTCAGTTACGGTAACTATCTAAGCGTGATGTTTTGTACTACGTTTCAAAGAAAATTTTGCAAAGTGAATGGCTCACAACATTCTTGACATAGAAGCAGGTGATATAAAAAAAAGTAGAGATTTTGCCTGGCAAACTTTCTACCACTTCCTCGATAGTTTTGTGACATATTCGCTCTCTGAAATTTATGCATGTTTTCTAGTCGAACCTAGCTTGATCTGATTTGCAAAGCTCTAACTAATTCGATGTATGCCCATAGGTACCAAAACAATGGCTTTTGATTTTTGACCATCATGATGTATTGTTAGTGTTTCAACCATTTGTTCCAGACAGTTTTCCCTTTTCTTATGTTCAATCCAAACTGCATGCTTTTTATTTCTAACTTTTACAGCTTCTTAATCGGCTCTTTTTGTACATTCATTATTTGCGAAATAGAGCTATTTTTAGATGGTGAGCCCTCTTCGGTTGATAATCGGTTTACATTTGAATCTCCTTATTTGGATAATGCTTGCTCTGAACGTATTTGTGCTTGTGTGTATCAAAAAAGGTAACGCCCTAAATCTTGAGTTTTCCCAAGGATTAAAAAGGTTTCAAAGGTGCTAGATGCTGAAAGCATGGGTAATAGAACTTAAGACAATTCTTTTTTATTAAAAAAATTTAAAAGCAGACATACATGTAACTTTTTTGAAATACATGGTATTCCAGGTAGACTTTGCTCTGGTAGAGATAATGCTGTTTACTTACTTTCTACTTTCAACATAGTTTGTGATTCCGCACAGCTTCTTGTACATGCATTTTATATTGGACCATCGATCTTGACGGGGGTAAGGTATTACTTTGTGACAAAGTTAGAATTCTCTGAAGTATCGTGTCGCTTTTCAGAAGTGGTTTTTCGATGGACAAGAGTCATTAGGAGTTACTATTGTAGCGGTACTTTTCCTCGGATTTTGGATACTTGCATCATTAATCCAAGTGCTGTTCTCAACAAATAGGTATGTATTATGCTATGAAAAATTACTTGAATCTACGCGAACTCAGAATTAATATCATCATATCGTTGGTGTTTCTGTGGCAGCGATATGCTATTTCCGTATTGATCCTTTCGTATGAATGCGTTAAGATACCGTCACAATCGATCAAAACAGAACACTTGTAAAAAGTTGAGTAATTGAATCAGCTTTCGTAAGCACCTTGCTAAACAACATTTCCGTTTTCCGGAGATTTGTTTTGGAACAGCAGCTAATTTGCAAAGACTTTATGGTGGAAGTCCCCACCGTACTTGTACCGTAAAGATACAAGCCGGTCAATGATTCTCTGGCTATATATCTGAGCTGAAGTCAGCTCTACATGATGTTACCCAAAGATCTGCACAAGTAACTGAAGCAAGAGAGCTATATATAACCATACATTGTATACTTTATAACCATACTTTTGAGACCTGTAGATAGTTCCATTGATCGTGAGCTGTACACCAAACTAGTTGATATTACATTTCTAGGCTGGTCGTTATCTGTTTCCCAAAGTGGAACTTATTTTCAACGAAAAGAAAAACTATTTTATATATGGTTATAACTATTATCGCTAGTGTAGCTGCAACAGTTTATCATCAGCTATTAACTCCGTGCTGCATGTATGCATTGACTTTGCTATTCTTGTAAAAATCCATTATTTTGCACTTTTAGAACCATTCCTGACCAGCGATGGTTTGGATATTCTATCTTGCAAAAGGACAATTTGGAAAATGATTCTTACTGGTTCGGTCTTTTTCTGGATGCTGGAGTGACGGTGTACAGTGGGATCTCCTACATAGCAGTAAGTTTTCAGAGACAAAGGAATGTTTGCGAATTGTTTGATCCAGCCTAGAAAAGGGGCCCCGCAGCCGCACTAAGTTAAAAGCAAAAAATCATCTGGAGGTTTGTTCACGCCGAGTTTATATCTCACCAAACGAAGCCCACACCACGAAGTCGCCAATTTCGGTACATTTTGATACGTTTTTAGAGTTTAAGTTGTTGAAGTTGTCGAAAAAAAGCTAACCGAAGTTGGGAGTGATCACCAACAAAAGGAGATGAGTGTTAATTTGACAGAGAGGTAGAACGTATGATAGCTGGATTCTACCCTTAACCTCTTTGATGGATTAACTGTTTACTAGGGTTTCTTCAGTTAGTTTATATGCATGACGGTTCACCAAACTTTTGCCGTTACTGCAGTATTACGATAACATTTATCTTTCGGCCTAACTTTTGAATACATCACGGTAGAGGAAAGAAACCGCCATTGTACTGTTTCACGAACTACTGGTCTTAACACTGTGAGGTGACATGTGCATAAGTAACCGGAGTCCTTGCAGGCGGCATCTAACGGCGGTATTTTTTCCTCTACCAGGCTGATTATGAGTAATGAGTTATTATTATAGAGCCTACTAAATAACATTCATAAAGCTGCCTGAAAGACAGTTGATACAGTACGCTCGTGCTGCTTTGTTACTCAAAAAAGACATTCAGGACAAAAAGGCTAAAAGTGGGCATACATGTTCGGGACACTTCTCTTTCCCCTTTAGGCGAGAAAGCGGAGGGGGAGGGGGCGCCCATTACTTGTGGGTGTCAGTTAGAAATCGCCGCGACGCGGCGTTACCGTAACCTGGGTGAGAGAAAGGGCCAGAGAAAATGTCTCAGAGGAAATGCTTAAGGGTCACGGTATTGTAAACGGAAGTACATATTCTCTCATCAGATAAATGGTAATTTCCATGATTCCATTCACTATCTATTTCATTTTTACAAGATTTGGGGCCAAACTTCTATTAAACATTAAAATTTGGTATAGTAGGTGTGAAAACAATCACAAAAAACGGAATAGTATGCCTTGCGAGTCGGCTATCCGAGCTCTTTTCGCAGCTGATTACTGCCAGCCTGTCGTGCGCGGCGCCTACGTAACAAGTCACAAGTAATGGGATACACCCCAAAGCCGATAGACTCAATAGAAGAGAATAACACCTACTGTGGCTGATTAATCTTCTGTTTGTTTCAGTTGATGTTTTATGTCGTCAAACTCGGCGGATCTACTAGCAATGCGCATAAGCGAGAAATTAGGTATTTGTTTTTTTGAAACCAAGATTTAGCTCCTCAAACAGCTGCTTTCAGGTGCATTTTGCAATTTTTTCTCATGTTTGTCACCTATGGAGTTATATGGATGACGTTCTATCTATATCCAGTTATAGGATTTCAAGTCCCCGAAGCTTATGTCGTAACACCAATGCTGCTAGTGTTCAACAGCGGCGTAAACTCGCTTATATTTCTGGCTTTGAACAAGGACGTAAGTACAATCTTTTGGTTTTTCAAACATCAGAAAACTTTGAAATTTCTATACTGGTTTGGCAGTTAATTTCTTTCACACATCTGCTGATTCGTATGCTATAACAATAGAGGTTTTTTGAAACGTTAAGGATTTTCGATATCTTTTCACTGACATTTTGTGAATTCAGAGATATCAGAGTGCAAGCAAGGGGAAATATTGAATACAACCTAAAGAAATCATAGAGAGGAAGAAGAACAAGAACATCCAGCGAAAAGATCTACAAAAGTGAAAATCCTGAGTGTTTTACAAAACTGTCGTAACTTGCTGGCTATTTGTGCGCGCAGCAACCATGCTGATGGGTAGGCCGTATTATATCCTACGTGTGAAGCAAATTTGATTTAGAACGCGTCAGAGATTATTTGGGATCGTAGAGAAAAAATGCAACAGAAATTATCCGGCAGCCTAGCATTTCAATGCGTTTTGGGATTGAAGTGCAACTAATACCGTAGATGTGACCAAATGCGTAAGATTAGCTTTATCTTTGGCTCAAATAGACGGATCCTCGATTCCTTGAATATTGGCTGTTTGTCTCTACAATATTTATTTGTGAAAAAATCGCTTCACTCCGCCGGAGTTCGCCGAACCTCGCGTTACATCGCCATATCTTGCTCCAGAGTGGACAAATTCTGAAATTCAAATCAACTCGGCGAGATGCATCTCTGATATGTGAAAGTGCCTGCTTGGATACAATAGTCGGTCAAACTTCAAGGATCTTTCCAAATTATTGCTAGGTACTCGGAGTATCCTATTGTGAGCAAGAATCTTGAAGGATCCGTAAAATTTGACCGACTGTGCCCAAACAGGCATTTCTTAGACCGATAGATGCATCTCGTCCAGCTGAGTTGAACTATGCTTTCGGATTTAGAAATTGTCTGCTTTGAAGCAAGATATGGCGGTGCAATGCGAAGTTTGGCGAACTCCGGCGAAGTGCGGTGATTTTTTCACAAATTACGAGCATGTTGCAAGACGGCAGGGAGGAGATATTATATTTAGCGAAAAATTGTTTCAATCATCGATCACTTGCTACTATGTACGTAGCCATCAAAGATTTGAAACTTTGGTCTTATGTTATGGGCGGCCTTATTTTTGCACAATCCTGTATATCAAAACGTTTCTTTGTCTGTAGCAAATTTTCTTCTACGTACATCTGTAGTAATCTGTAGTAAATAGAATATATCGCGAACTTGTATGCGCACAATTTTGTGAACTTTATGGTTTGAAAAGCTGAATAAGATACTGCTGCTTTCAAAACGGTTACGTACTTTTGGCTAACCCTGTTCAGTAACTGTGCAACAACGCTTAAAATACAAACCAACTTCTGTTCACACTACTATTGACCTCATCTTTTTCAGATAATCATAGCAGCTCATGAATTGTTGCATGGAAACTCAGTATCCAGAATTACTACCTCGCCACATATAATGCTTATTCGAAGCGTTACATGAGTGTCGCAACCTTTGTATCACTGCTCAAAATGGCTCGCTAGCATATTGTGAAGGATATACGTAGCGATCCTCTGCAAAATCACCAAGCTTCTTCCTAACTAAGTTTCCATATGGGTTATGTCTCCGCTTTCTATGCGTCAACCTCCCCACAGATTTTCTAACAGTATGTTTCTGCGAACGTAATATAAAAAACATTTAGATTAGACCCTTTGACTATCTCTTTGTAAGCTAGTTTTCCTCTACCGAGGCTCATTTTATCCGCCTTATGCCTATTCATCGAGTTGCTTTTTCTTCTCCTTCACTCTTTGTTTTTGGCGCATTGTGCCTAGCTTGATGGCCTTGCATCTTGACTAGGACCACAGGCTTGAGTCATTTTCTACTCAAAGCCGCTAGCTCAGGGCTCGGCACGAGCTGGCACCAGGGAATTTTCAAAACGAAGTCCCGTTTGATATTGAAAATTTCGTACGAAGTTCCTTTTGACCTGTTTTGAAAACCCGTCATCACTTTTATATTATGTAAAAAATGTAGTAGTGTTTTCATGCATTTCTGATTTCATGAAAGAACTTTTCACAGCTTTTTGAGCTTTTTAAGTGGTCGAAGCATATTTTGAGAAGCAGAAAAAGCCGATTTTTCGACTGCGGAGCGGACCGAGTGGTTTTCAAATTGCTATAAAACGCCGAAAAGAGAGCATTATGAAACTGTTTCTTCTCCGTATGTAATCTTTTACAGTGTAGATACATTTTATGTAAAAAAGTATGAAAACTTATGTGAGCAAAGTGTCGGTGCCAGCTCAGCTGGCACCCAGCTGGCACGGTGCCAGCTAATTCAGAAAAAAGTTCGGCACACTTCCATTCACATAAGTTTTCATAAATTTTTGGCCCGTAGTTCCGGTCCACCAACGCGCATGCACACACCAAATTTGGTGTCATACTATTGCGTTTTGGCTGAAAACAACGCCTTTGTTTGTTGATGAACAGCTTGCCAATGGCATGCCGGTGGCATGCCGGCGGCATTTTTGCGGCAGTTCTCCGCCTCGGCCCCTGTAAAAACGATATCCCCTTTGCTTTCCGCCCTAAAAACGATATCCAGCTTGACCCGGTGCCAGCTATGCTGAGCCCTGCGCTAGCTTCATGACTTTGACTAACGCGCTGATCTTTGCTTATTTTCATGTATATATCAATTTCATTCTCCGTTTCTGTATCTTTGTAAACTTCAAAGCGTTGTGCATAGGTGTTAAAGTGGATTTCACTAAATTTCCAGGAAGTCAGTTTATATGCTTATAAATTCATACGAATCGTTGTATCCTAGGAATTTCAATTTTTTTTCTGGGCAGGAGTCGAAACGGTTGACAAATGGACTAGGTCAGTACCGCGGTCCTGAGAGGAGGCCAGAAAAATTGCATATATTTGCTCGGAAAAGTGGAAAAATAAGATGGATGTATATAAATGCGGAAAAGTTATGTGGATGAAGGCATTTGCTTATATTAGTTCAGTGCAAAAGCTTTGTTAATTTATTGAAATGAACCGCAAAAGCCGCGCAGTGAAGATAAACGAATATTTTAAACTGTATCCGATGCAGAATTTCCTCTTTTCAACTGCTGTACAAACAATGTAATTCGTACAGAGAGTGCTGGGATAAACCCTTGAAATTACAAATTTTCGTTTTTACCATGTCTGGTTTTCGCTAATTTTCACAGATTTCATCTGAGACTTTTGGTAGAGCTTTTTTAGCCAACAGATAGGAACCTTCCAACTAAAGCAATTTGCTGTAGTTTCTGTGGCCTGTCTTTCAAAATTCCTAAAATTCATTTTTCGAAGTAACCAAATCTTATACTCGGCCTATTCTAACCTCATAGAACGTAAAATGGTGAACACTTCAGGTACCATTGCAGCTTTTTCTCCTCTTTTGGTAATCGTCTTTACTTGGTGAGAAAAGCGAAACTCGCGGGAAAGATTGCCGTGTTTTCAATTTCACATGTGCGCACTGACGTGCCCTATGTTTCAAGATTTTCATATTTTGAAGAAAAAATCGTTTTTTAACTTTATAGGGCTAGTAATAGTAATGGTCAAGTATGGAAACCGCAAGTAATTCTGCAAGTTTCGCATTGTGCGCAATAACAGGTTATGCGGATTTGTCAAAACTCAGGACTTTCGGAAAATTACTTAGCAAAATTCTAGAAGAGGCTGAAAAAATGGGAAAAATGCTTTCGTTGGAAAAAAGTTCATCCTATCTGCTGGCTATCAAAGCTCCCTCAAAAGCTTCATATAAAAATTGTGAAGTTTAGCGAAAGTCAGACATGGCGAAAACTGAATCAAAGTGACAAACTTTATCGTTATAATTACAGTCTTGACGTACCACATGAACTGTAAGAAACATGTTAATAACTTAAACTTTCCGATTTAGGTGGGCTCATGCCACCTTAAATGGCCAGAGAATTCCAGCCCCAGAGCAGACTTTGAAAAAATCTGAGTCGTTAACGAAAATTAGCCTTCGACACTCGCCTCGTCCCGAAGTGTATGGTGCAAAGTTTTGTCCGAATCGGGTCAAAGATGGTATTTTCCACTCCGACCATAGATACAGACTAGAGATATTTTAGATAATCTCGGATATGCAATGAGCAAAACACCAGAAATCCTATGCCTGCTGAACTCCCTTCTATTCAGTCCCAAAGCTTAAATACTTAGCGCTGACCTACCATGAACCACCAACACTTTCGGTTGCCAAAACTAAACGACAATAAAATTTGGGGCAGCTGTTATAAACTTCATGCTTTGCTTTTTCTGCGCAAAGTTTATGCAAATTGAATGTTCGTAAAAGTTTGATTTCCGAATGAGGTACAAAGCTAGCATTAATTTTTCCTTATCATCAGCGAAAACTTTGCACATTCAGAAATAGCAGTCATAGAACCAATAATATCGACTGATTCGACCTTTGGTGCAAGTTCCAGAGTCTGGCATGACCGGAGACACAAAATTAAATTTGGTTAATTTCCTTCTCCGCTTCCACCACTGGCAAGTGTATCTGGTAGAAAGCCCATTCTTTTGATCAAACTAAAGTCGTGTAAATTCGTTGAAGAATCAGGAAGTATGAGTTTTTGAAAATGGTGCGACAAATCCAACCTGCTGATATTCATGAACAATTGAAAGCCCCAGCAAGCTTTTCAAAATCCTGTTATCATACCTTCGATAGTTAAGAAACAGAGGCTACAAAGTGATAGTTGTTTAAGTTCTTGCCCCCTACAAAAAGTGAAGGTTGTTTCAGAAAATAAATGGAAATTTAGAGATATGAATTAAACCAGGAAACTTGAAAAATTCATATAAAGCATAGGTTAGCACATCACCAAATTTGAAACCTTAATTTGGTGGTTTCCTAAGCACAGTTTCCTCAGGATTGCCGGTTAAATTGGGTGGCAATTAGAACAAAATTCTTTGATTAAAAAAAGCGCTGCTTAGCTGTGGCGGTAGTTGGGAGACCGAAAGAAGGAAAACTTGTCAACAACTGAATTGAACATATCAAACACGTCTGAAAAGATACGTTGCACATCCACGCCAATCTGATTTTTGATGCGTCCTTTAAATTTTCACCCCTCGTTTCGTATCCTGCGACGTTGCCTGGATTCTTCCGCTCACCATTCTGAGCAAGTATCTTCCAAGCTGAAGAAAAATCCTCGCAAAAGCACTGAAAGAAAACAAGGTAAAGAAAAACGCACCTTTTAGTATGTTGTGAGTAAGTTAGTAAGCCAATCGAGGTTAGTAGATTTATTAGTAAGTGGCGGCCTAACGTTTCGAACTATTCGTCTTCTTCAGAGGCCTAAAGTGGTAGGAGATTTATGATTTAATGTCTATCCCACCAAAAACCTCCTCCATCCCCGGCTAGCCTCGATTTGCCCCAGAATGCTACAAAACAAAACCATATAACGTGAAAGACGAACTGACCTCCTCCACCGCCGGCGCGCAGATGTTGAAAGCGGCCGTCCTTCAGTGCCACTGATACCAATAATGGAATACACTGTATACCATATTCGAACTAGTCAGTAGCCTTCTTCAACTCACATAACGTCACGAATGGCATAAAGTCATTTGTGATTGATATACACTCATTTCGGCTGTTCATGCTAGGATTTCTTGCGAGAATCCAGAACGCCTCGAGAGCCTTTCTAACGGCAGTATCGTCGTATGCCAGTATTACACATCTGATCTGGAAGTCCTTACCACCGTGAACTTCGAATTTATGTTTACCGAGATGAGTGGTAAGGTCTCCCCGCCTTTTGCTGGCAAGATGTTCTTTTATCCTTACTCCCAACGGTCTCCCAGTCTCTCCGATATAAGTGGCGCTGCACTCCATGCATTCGATCTGATAGATCACACCCGTTTTGACATCGTTTTCGAGGTTCGCTTTAATGCATCGTCGCACTATAGCACTAGTCGCGTCAGAGACGAAAGGAAGACAGAGAGGTATTTTCTTTTGGTACTGGTTGCTGTTTATGGAAATAGATGGTCCACTACGTCCTTTTTGGAATGTGTAGCCAATCATTCGAGCAATATCCAACGCCAGTCTCTGCGACTCCTTCCGTTCTTCTTCTCCTGTGCATACGTTCGTTGCTGTCTTGAGCATGTTACGAATAACAGTTCTTTTAACAGTAATCGGATATGCGGAGCGAGCATTAACCAAGATGTTCTTGGAACTCTCTTTGCGATACCATTTTGCATTCGCAGCGCCGTTGAACATTCGCAGCGCCACTTATATCGGAGAGACTGGGAGACCGTTGGGAGTAAGGATAAAAGAACATCTTGCCAGCAAAAGGCGGGGAAACCTTACCACTCCTCTCGGTAAACATAAATTTGAAGTTCACGGTGGTAAGGACTTCCAGATCAGATGTGTAATACTGGCATACGACGATACTGCCGTTAGAAAGGCTCTCGAGGCGTTCTGGATTTTCGCAAGAAATCCTAGCATGAACAGCCGAAATGAGTGTATATCAATCACAAATGACTTTATGC